GGAACTAGCTCTCTAGACCAGGCTGGTCTCGAACTCACAGAGATCCGCCTACCTCTGCCTCCCGAGTGCTGGGATTAAAGGCGTGCGCCACCATCGCCCGGCTAGGACAGGGTCTCTTAATGATCCTAAGGTCCCCGTTTCTGCTAAACTGGCTGGCTGGTGGGTCTGTGGAATCCCTGACACACTGGGGTTATAGGAACCTGGCTCTTCACTCAAGTCTTCAGGCCTTTATAGCAAGAGCTCTCTCTACCCACTGAGCCACCTCCTCAGGCCCTCATCCCTGGCTTTAAGCTAGGTATATCTATTCTAGTAAATAAGAACCCCTGTTTCACATCGTAGTATCTGAAAATATTCTCTTGTGGCAGGATTGTTATTATACAGCCTTCATTTGGGCTGATTTCATCATTTTGCTCTATGAAATAGCTTTACAGTACATATTCTACAGCCAGAACATGTGCACATACTTAAAGATACCTTGGACAGAGGCTGGAGAGATGGCCCAGTGGTGCAGAGTACATCCACATCTTCAGAGAACCTGAGCTTGGATCCCAGCACCCATGTCAGGTGGCTTACAATTGCCTGTAACTCCAACTCCAGGGGATCCAACGCCCTCTCTGGGTTCTGTGGGTACTGCACACATGTGGTACACATACATTCAGGCAAAACACTTGCACACATAAAGTAAAAATAAAATTTTAAAAAATAGCAACATTGTGTATGGTGGAGAATAGAAGCTATTATGCTAAGTGGGAAGCACCGCCCCCTGGTCTATAACTGAAACTGTGAATGGAAGGGGCACCCTTCGGAGTAGGTCCCGCACCCTGCTAATTATATATTTCCATGGTGAACTCTCGGGGTGGACTCCAATCCCCTATTTGTTCTGTATTTTGCAGTCTCCACAGCTGCCCTTTGGGTGCAGGCAGGTTCTCTGTAGAGATCTGGCTGGGAGGCAGACTGGATGGAAGACCAGGTAGAGTCGCCAGCGAGAGTCTCCGGAGACCTTTCTGCTTTGCAGACCACAGCCAGTATGCGTGATGTGAGTGCAAACTGTTGTCAAATCGACACAGGCAATCGCGGCAGAAGGAGGCTGGAGAAATGACCTCATTTCTCGCAGTTCCCAAAACACCATGTGGCGAGTGCCTCATTCCGAGCAAAATTCCAGTAATAGTCGTGCCCCAGTTCACTCCAAGAGCTGAAATAATGCGTCTCTGCTGTCCTCCGGCCTCATCCCCCATCTATCACGGTGCCCGAGTCACGCCAGCTGAATGTCCTCATAGCTGAAGATATGCACTATTTTGCTGCCTGCTCAGAAATATTTCCTGAGAAAGGGGTCAAAAAAAAATTCTGAAGCAGGGTCATTCTTGAGTGGCATGATTAAATGCAAGCACGGAACCAGGGCATCGTGAACCGGCAACTTCCATTTATAGACATTCAATACTTCTAAGAAATTCCTGTAGCAAGCGTTATTCAGCCAAACTGATATAAATTATAGAAGAATTAAATGATCCTAGGAAGATACAGTCAAGCACATTGCCATTACCGTGGGAACCCACAGCTAGTCCCTCTCCAGCGTGTGATCAAAGCCACAGCAGCTTGTCCTGGTGACCTTACAGCAGCCCAGGGTACATGATGAGCGATCTCATGAGCTGGGCCATTCAGTTCACTTGGTCACTGTCGTGGGGGAGGCAATAAAGTGCAGTTCCTGGAAAAACGAGTCAGACTTTTTAGTTTATCTGGAAAGGACACTGAGCTGTGCTCAGAATAAGCAATAAAGGCAGGCAATAAAGACCAGGGAGCAGCCTATGCCAAGACTGTGTTAAATGGTGGTGGTGGTGGTGGTGGTGGTGGTGGTGGTGGTGGTGGTGGTGGTGGCGGCGGCGGCAGCGGCAGAGGTGGCGGGGATGGCGGTAAAGGTGATTCCTTCAGGGCTGGAGATGGAACTCAGAGCCTTGTATACGCCAAGAAAGCACTCTACTTCTGAGCTACATTTCCAGCCCCATAGCGTAAGTTTTAAGTCTTGAAATACAGCCAGGTGTGGTGGCTCATGCCTTTAATCCCACCCAGCACTTAAGAGGCAGAGGGATTCCGGGAACTTCCATTGGAGAATGAGAGAACTGACACCTGCAAGTTGCCCTCTGACCACCACATACATATTGTGCATATGCCCACACACAGACATTCATTCAGAAAGCCTGAATTTACCAGGCAGTGGTGGTACACACCTTTAATCCCAGGACTGGGGGTGGGGGGCAGAGGCAGGCAGATCTCTGTGAGTTTGAGCATGGTCAACAGAGTGAATCCCAGAACAGCTAAGGCTACACAAAGAAACCTTGTTGCAAAAAAAACAGGGAGGTGTGTGGAAGAAGAAAGCCTATTATCAGACCCCTGTCCTGGAACTTGCTTTGTAGTTCAAGCTGACCTCGAACTCACATAGATCCGCCTACCCTGCCTCCTAAGTGCTGAGATTAAAGACGTGCACCACCACTACCCTACCTGGTTCTAGGTTTTTCTTTTCTTTCTTTTCTTTCTTTTCTTTCTTTCTTTCTTTTTTTTTTTTTTTTTTTGGTTTTTCGAGACAGGGTTTCTCTGTGGTTTTGGAGCCTGTCCTGGATCTAGCTCTTGTAGACCAGGCTGGTCTCGAACTCACAGAGATCCGCCTGGCTCTGCCTCCCGAGTGCTGGGATTAAAGGCGTGCGCCACCACCGCCCGGCTTCTTTCTTTTAATTTTATGTGCACATTTGTCTGTGTGAAGGTGCTGGATACCCTGAAACTGGAATCACAGACAGTTGTGAGCTGCCATGTGGGTGCTAGGAATTGAACCCTGGTCCTCTGGGACAGCAGTCAGTGCTCTTAATTCCTGAGCCATCTCTCCAGTCCTAGGTTTTATTTTTAAATAAGCTTTTTGGGAAGCTGAGGATATGGCTTAGTTGGGTACACTGGTTTCCTAGCATCTATAAGTGCTTGCTTTTGATCCCCCGTGGGGACTCAGGACTGTAATCCTAGTACTTGGGAGGGAGTGGCAGGAAGATCAGGAATTCAAGGCCAGCTGAGACCAGCTTGGTACATACAAGATCCTGCCTTGAAAATACACACAAGAATTCACAAAAATCACAGCTGCACAAGCTCAATGAATTTTCATAAAACAAACAACTGTTTAACCTTCGGAGCAGGCATACGCTGTCTAATGGCTGTTCAGAGAACAGCGCAGAAGACAGTGATCTGCTAAGATGACCGAGCTGAGACACCCCTGCCGCCTAGCGAGGGCACAGTTGTTAAGAGCATCACAGCACAGCACAGTGCATTGGGTGCAACTCTCTTGTCACACAGCTGTTCCCCAGAATTGCTTTTTAAAGTTTTTTATGGGTTTTAAAGTTCTCATTCATTTTTATTTTATGTGCATTGGTGTTTTGCCATGGATGTGAGGGTTCCCTGGAACTGGAATTACAGACAGTTGTGAGCTGCCATGTAAGTGCTGGGAATTGAACCCAGGTCCTCTGGAAGAGCAGGCAGTGCTCCTGACCACTGAGTCATCCCTCCAGTCCCCCCCCCCCCCAATTTTTTTTTTTTTGGTTTTTCGAGACAGGGTTTCTCTGTAGCTTTGGTGCCTGTCCCGGAATTAGCTCTTGTAGACCAGGCTGGCCTCGAACTCCCAGAGATCTGCCTGCCTCTGCTTCCCGAGTGCTGGGATTAAAGGCGTGCACCACCACCGCTCGGCCCCAAAATTTTTTTAACATTCCTTTTCACTTGTGTGTGTGTGCACACATGCACGGATGCTAGAGGACTTGAGGAAGTCAGGTCTCTCCTTCCACCAGATGGGTTCTAGAAATAGAACGCAGGTCATTAGGCTTGTTGGCAAGCACCTTTACCTGCTGAGCCATCTTGTCAGCTCTACTTCCTCTGAATTGAGATAGTCCCTACTGGGCTGAAGAGAGAGGTTCAAAAGATTCAGGAATCTAAAGACGAGCCTTCCTGGTGGGCTGTGATCTTTAGAAGGTAGAAGAGGTCCCAGCAGATCTGAGTGGGTTAGATTGGTATGTAAAGTGGGTTTAGATGGCTCTAAAGCATCCAGAGGAGGATGAAATGGGGAAAAGAAGATGGCAGAACCTTGCTGGGTCACTTGAAAGAAAATACGGCAAGAACTGCATGGAGTCAGAATTTTAGAGAAAAACATGGATGGCTAAATCCAGTACCTGTGAGCCTCTGGAAGGCTTTGAAGTCTAAGCAAGAGGTCATCAGAGGGACAAAAGGAGGAGTGAGTGATAGGGCTGGGTAGTGGATCCACCCAGACAGCACACTGGGTTCATTTTTCCCCACAAGAAAGCTGAGCCAGGCAGTGGAGGCTCACCCCTTTAATCCTAGCACTCAGGAGGCAGAGGTAGGAGGATCTCTGAGTCCCAGGGCAGCCTGGCCAATAGAGTGAGCTCCAAGACAGCCAGGGCTACACAGAGAAACCCTGTCTCAAAACAAAACAAAAACAAAGAAAAGGGACAAAATTATACTGGGACGGAAGGTTGTTGGCTTAGCCTGGGACCCCTGCAGTAGCCAGGTACGGCTGATGAAGCGACAATGAAGCTGCCAGGTTTGGGGACCCAGCACCAGTGGCAGGCAAGGCAGATAAGAGCATAACCTTGACTCTGAGCTAGGACAAGCTGTGCGAGCCAGCTGGACGAATCCAGTCAGGAGTGGGGAGATGTGCGGTAGCCCTGCAGCAGCACCCCAGGACGATGGAAGTGGGGTGGCTCGTGGAGAATGGCTGTGGGTTAGAGAGTTCAATAGGCCGGCATTCCTCTGCAGCCAGCATTTCTCTCTGATAAAGTAATCCAAGTAATGAGTTCTTTCCATGCTGAATCCAAGACCAACTGGCCCTTGGTAGTGAGCCTTTAGAGACCTCTTGCCGCTGAATTTTGTCCCATTATACAATGCTAACCCTGGAGTATTTTACAGATTAGAGAAAGCATCGATAAGGGTAGTAGAAAATGGCACTTAAAGTCTTTAAAGGAATACTCACCTAGCAGGGGAGACACCATGATGAGGCAGGTGGTTTCCCAGGGCAAGGCTCATCCATGACACTTCATAGGTGCTGACCCCAGCAATTTCCCCAAATTTAAGAAGTTCAGATGCATAGCTTGTGGTAGTAAGGACTGCATTCGCACTCTCCTCAAAAAACATGTTTAGAGAAGGCACCCTGCATACATGGAAGGGCACTTCCGGAAGGCATAGTGTCCTTGGGTGAACATCCCAGGGCCATAGGTGGGCTACCTCCCTGTGCACTGTAGGCCAGGGAGCCTCCTAGTGTCCATGAACCCTAAAGCTAGTTTCACGTGTACTCCACAGGGCTCAGTGGGTAAAGTGCTTGCCTCACAAGCAAGGCGATCTGAGTTCAAGTCCCCAGTCCCCACATAAAAATGGTGATGGCAGTGTGTGTCTACCCTAGTGCTGGGGAGCAGGGGGAATGACACAAATGGATCCCTGAAACTCAGTGGTCATCCAGCCTAGCCAAACTGATGGACTCCAGCTTTAGTGATATACTGTCTCAAACATGTATGTGTGAATGTGTGTGTTTATATTTGTATATATTTGCATACAAATATATGTAATATATATATACGTAGAAGTCAGGCATGGTGGCACACACCATTAATCCCAGCACTCAGAGGCAGAGGAAGGAGGATCTCTGTGAGTCTGAGGTCAACCTGGTTTTCACAATGAGTTACAGGACAGCCAGGGTTACATAGTAAGACCCTGACTCAAAACAATGATAATAATAATGTGGAGAGAAATTGAAGAAAACACTTGGCATTGACCTCTGCCTCCATAAGCTTGCACACTTGCATGTACATGTATAGCACACACAAACACATACAGTGTAGCACACACAATCCAGCCCACAGGAAATAATTTGTGCTTGGAACTGGAAAACTGGGACTGAGACCTGTGGTTGAGGAGGTGGGTCATGGGCCCCAGCAAGGAAGTAATTGCTCTTATGGGTATGTCAAACCACCTCCTGAACATTCATGTCTATATCCATAAATTCCTGCTAAGTTAGCCTCAGTCAGGGGGAAACGGTTTTTCTGAAGTGGGTGGTGGTTACTGCAGAGACTCAAACAACCAACCGACTGCGAACAAGAGGCTATTATTACAGCATAGCGGCCTGATGCTCAGCCAGAAATGGAAGATAATCGCGTTGCAGAAGAGGGGGCAGAAAGAAAGTAAGGGCTGGTGGAAGGGGTGAAGTGTTATGTAGCTACTAGCTACAAGACTAACTAACACAAGACATACCACACACACACACACACACACACACACACACACTCCTGCCGCCCAGTTAGATAAACGGTAAACAGTTGCTAGGAGGAACTACCTGGGGGAGCTGCAAGGACTCAGCGTTTTTTGTGGGTTTTTTTTCGGGGGAAGGAAGTGTTTTGTTTTATTTTTGTTTCTGAGACAAGATTTCTCTGTGTAGCTCTGGCTGTCCTGGAACTAGCTTTGTAGCTCAGGCTGGGCTCAAACTCACAGATGCAGGCATGCACCACCATGCTCGGCAGGACTCAGCTCTTATGAGCTGTCATTCATGCTGGGCGGGGCTTTTCTCAATGCCTTGCCTTTGAGCAACCCAGGCTCTTGCAGCTCCTCCCCCACACTCCTGCACTAACCTCAGTGAGTCCTCAGCTCTCGAAACTGGCCTGGGTGGAACTGCTTATTGGTTCTACTGTCAGCACTCTCAGGTGGAAAGACAATTGTTCACTTCTCTCTAGGAAAAGTCACGTGATCGCAATGTTTGCGGACTAGATGAAGTGATTTGCGGTGCAGGGCAGTTACTGAAGGTGGCACGGCTCTGCTATTGGCTCATATATTTTTACTATGCTATGCTATTTTATGATGCTATGCTATGGTGGAGTACATCTTCTATTTCTTCAGAAACCTGTTTACTGAGTGGGGTGGTGGCACATGACTTTAATCCCAGCACTTGGGAGGCAAAGGCAAGTGGATCTCCAAGTTCTAGGCCAGCCTGATCTACAGAGTGAGTTCCAGGACAACCATTGCTACACAGAGAAACCTTGTCTAAAAAAAAAGCAAAGAAAGGAGGAGAAAAAAGAAAAGAAAAACAAAACCTCTTTCATGGACTAGGGTTGTGGCTCGGTGATTGTTAATCTAGAACATACAAAAGCCCTCTTTTACTCCTGATATTACAAAAATTAACAATGTTAATTGTACGAGGCACCAGCTCTAACGTCATACATCTCAAGTTTTTCACATCTCTTGCTCACATTAGGCCACGTGGGGCTAAGCGACATCACCTAGAGCTGGGTAAGTATGCACATCACTGTTCTCATTCTGACGAAGCTGCCTCATGATGGATTTCCCAGAATGCATCCTGCCACAAGTGACTTGGGATTGAGTAGGTTATCGCTAACATTCTGGTAGTTCATTGCTGCTTTTTCATTTTAAAAACTTTTATGCGTATGGGTGTTTTGCCTCCATGAGTGTCTGCTTGTGTATCTGACGCCTGCAGAGGCCAGGGACAGAATTTTGAACACCTAGAGCTAAAGTTACAGAGGGCTGTGAGTTGCCATATGGGTGCTGGGAATCGAACCTAGGTCCTCTGGGAAAGTGCTCTTAACCACTGAGATGTCTCTCCACCCGCCCCCACACCAGTTACTTTTAAAACCATTATTTTCCTGCTCTCCAAAGTTATCCACTGATTTGACTTCTATAATTCTATGACTTCTAGATTTAAAATTATTTAATTAACATAGGACAAACACCTCAGAATTTGTAATACACAGTCCTTTGTTTTATTGTTTGTTTTGAGACCCAGTCTCAAGTAAGCCCAGGCTGGCCTTGGACTCATGGGGTAGCTGAAGATAACCTTGAACTCGCTTCCTCCCCCGTGTGCTGGGATTCCAGGCCTGTGCTTTTTGTGCCCATCACTGGTGTTTGTGTGTCTGGCAAATCCGCTGCCTCTGCCCTCCTTACGGAGTGACTTTCATAGAGAGTAAAAGGCTTTTTCTCCCGGTGTTGTGTGCTTTGGCTTGACCGGCTGTGTTGACTCTGACTGGAGGTAAAGCTTTAGTGTACCGTGGGTGTTTTTCTGCTCTAATTAACAGGAGCATTGCTGCGAGAACTGAATGTCTCTGCTGTGGTGCTTGCTTCACAGCCAGCTGGGAGGCTGCTGCTCACTGAGAGACAGCTCACTAACAGCTCTGGGCGTGGCCTGCCTGGCTGCGGGTATTGGGGTGCCTGTAGTTCCTCTGGGCACGTGAGGGTGGGGCTTCCTGGTGGGCCACAGTGAGCTTGCTTGTTAGTGACAGACTGATGCTGTTAGTGTCTTGTCAGACACCCTGGGCCCTGATCTACTAGAGGAAGGCTGTTCAGCTGCTTCCTGGAGCTGAGGGTTCGTGCTTGGTGTTTTTCAGATTTCGGCACCAGGCTGAGCTGAGAACAGGCTGTTCAATTGCTTCCTGAGACTGAGGGGAGATTCGTAATGCTTGCCTGCCTGTTTTCCAGGAGCCTTGGTGAACCAAGCCAGTTACAGAAGGCCACTTGGTTGTTTCCTGGGACTGTGGGTGGGTGAGGAGGCCACCCATCTGCTTCCTAGGACCTCAGTTGCTCAAGCTGCCTAGGGTACACTATCAGGCTGTTTCCTGGGACAGGGGGTGGGTAGCTGAGGCTGCCTGGCTGTTTTGCAGGACTGGATTGTTCCTTCACAACATTGCTTAGGGGTTCCAAAGCGCCAGCACAAAGCAGGAGCCTACATGTGGGAAGGCAAACATAGGCCATGCTTTTTCAGGACTATGCTGAGGCTGAGAATCCAGGAACTCAGAGTTTGTAAGCACTGCAGACCTGAGCAACAAATGCTATTCCTTAGATGGATTGGAACTGCTGAGTCTCCTGCTTGTCTACCCTTCTCCTACACCCCGGGCAGGGTCTCTAGCCCAAGCCAGTCTTAAGCTCCCTGTGTAGGTAGGAATGGCTGTGAACTCCTGATCCTCCTGCTCCCATTTCTTAGTGCTGGGATTACAGGTGTGCAACACCATGCCAATTCCATGAGGTGTTGGGAACCAAACCCAGGGCCTTGTGCATGCTAGGCAAGAATTCTATCAACTCAGCTAGAGCCCCAGCCCCTTCTTATCTTTGCTATAGGGAGTGAAATCCCTCACACTCCAGGACTGATCTTCAAAGACTGTGGGAAATGCTGTACGCTTAGCTCCCTTCTTTACAAGGTCAGCACGCATCTCCACACCACACAAAGCACATACAGCTTCAGCCTCAACTCTTCAGCTGAGGGACATAGTCTAGACACCTCTAGTAGGCATTGTGCTCTCATCCTCCAGTAGGGGGCACAATCTGAATTAATCTCTTTCTTGGATTATTTTATAGTCAACTTGAACCCTTGAACCTCTGGTCTCCTGGCTTATGCAGTGGAGAGAACTCGGGGCTTCATGCATGCTTGCATGCTGGGGGAACATCTGTCAAGTGAGCTGCATCCCAAACGCGCTCTCCTCACTTTTTACAGAGCTGCAGTGACTTTCTACTAGAATGATTCCTACTAGGGCCAGTGCTATGGCTCAGTGCGTAGAAGCGTTTGCTGCCAAGTCCGACAGCCTGAGTTTGATGCTCGGGACCCACGTGATGAGAGCTGTCCTCCGGCCCTTACACGTGCAGTGCGATGTGATCACTACCCACAAATGATAATTACTTTTAAACATTTAAAATGATTCTTTACTAACACAGCATCTGGTCCAGATTTCTTAAGTGCTGGCTTGGGATTCATACCCCCATGCATGCTAGGCAACACAACCAGAAGGCACATCCAGGGTTTCCTCAGACACACCCTTTTCAGTGACATAACCATGACCAGAGTCCGGTGTCCTGTTCACCCTTTCGTGAACATTTTTCCATGTAATTCAAAATAGAAAAATACTGGAAGAATGGATGACTGCATGGACCTCGGCTTGTCCACAGCTTCTCGTCGAAGGGACTCCATGCCCTGAAGAGAAACGCTTGGCCACCTCTTGCAATCTGAGGCAATGACGGGGCAGTTTGTGTCGCTTGTGCACTACCTAGATGCCTGCAGAGCCTCCTCTCCTCTGCCTCTCTCCTGCTAGGCCAGGCTTCGGTGCCAGGACAGAGTCCAGTCCTCTTGCCTTAGTGTGACCAGATTCTGAAGGCCATTTCGGGCCCAGGCCCCGCTACATCTTATCTTGGTTACTTCCCAAGAGCTCTCTAATTTAAACCTCCCACAAGCAACTCCACCTCAGAGCCTTCTTCCCTGGGAACTGAGCCTTTTCGCTTTTCTGTTACAAAAATAAAAGATGAAAGTAGGGGAAATCTCCTTAAGGCTGTGTGGCTGGAAGCTTACAATCCCCCAGTGTGCTTCCATCACCAGCAGGAGCTGGCTTTCTCTTAGAGCAGGCACAGGGGTGCACGCCGCTAACCTCGACACCCAGGTTGGGGAGGTGAAGGCAGGAGGATCAGAAGGTTTAGGGCAGCCTTGGCATATAGTGAAGTTGAGGCTAACCTGAAATATATGAGACCCTGTCTCAAATTATTTTAAAATTTCAATTTATATGCTTCAAAATAGCATTGGCTCTAGAGTTATTTATGCTTACTTTTATCTTTAACTGTGTGCATGTGTGTGCTCACACATGTGAGTACAGGGGCCCAGAGGGTGGAGAAAAGGGTGTCATGTCCCCTGGAGCCAGTCATTGGGATCTGGGTTTGGGGAACTGGAGTTCTGCTACGTGCAAGAGTAGCACCTGATTTTAACCACTGAGTTGCCTCTCCAGCTCCACTTACTATTTTGTTTGAGATACAGCTTCCTTGAACTCACAGAGATCCTCCTGCCTCTGACTCCCAAGCGCTGGGATTAAAGGCGTGCGCCACCACTGCCCAGCCCCTACTTATATCTCTATAAAATAGTAAAAGCTGGAGGCTGGAGAGATGGCTCAGCAGTTGAGAACACTGTTGCATCTTCCAGAGAACCTGACACTGCTCCCAGCATCCAATTCAGTCTGGTTATGATCATATGTAACTCAGCTCCAGGAGATCTTACACCTCTAGCCTCCACAGTCACCCACACTCACACGCAGATATCCATATGCAAGCATATACATACTTACACATAAAAATGAATCTAAAAAGGACAGTAAAGCCACATCATAGTGTGTATTTATTGTATCTTACAGACCATGCTCTAATAAAGTATTTCATTATTGTTGAGACAGGGTCCACACATCACAGGCTAGCCTCGAACCTGCTGTGAAGCTGAGGATGACCTTAACCTTCTCATCTTCATGCCTCCATCCCACCAAGTGCTGAGAACCATATACTTGGGTTATGCAGTGCTGGGGACAGAACTCGGGGCTTCAGAAAGCACACTAAGCAAGCATTTAGATATAACTGAATCATATCCCTAGTCCCAGAATTAACTCTGAAATTTCTAGAGCAGTATGGGACTCTCCAGGTGTCCTCGGGTTGCCTGACAAAGGCAGGCACAAAATCTTTCTATGAACATGTTAGCCCATACCTCCACAGAGAATCACCAATCCCCACTCTATTCCATCTGTTATTTTCCTTGAAGTACTGGAGGTTGAATCCCAGACCTTGGGCATACTGTACAAGTGCCGTACCACTGACCTATAGCCCCAGCCCTTCACAATTCCAGCTCAGGATATGCATGTGTGGGTCAGTGAGATAGCTCAGTAGAAAAAGGGTGCTTGCTGCCAAACCTAATGACCTGAGTTCAATTCCCAGAGAACCAACTCCTGACATTATTCTCTGACTTCCACATGTGTCCTAGCATGTGCACATACGCAATCACAGGTGCACAGACAAGAGCACACACACATTACAATTGGATCTGAAATGTCTCCTGCAGGTTCGTGTTTCAAGTGTTTTATCCCTGGCTTGCAGGGCTCTTTTGAAGTGTGTAGAACCTTTAGGAGGTGGCATCTGATTGGCACAGTAAGGAGTTATTTTAACGTTAGGCTCACCCACCCACTCCCTGCCAGGCTTAGCCAAGTACTGCCCGTCTGACGCCATGTTCTGCAGAGGCTCCACCCCTAATATGGACTGACATCATGAAGTAACACAAACCCTTCCATGAGTAGCTCTTCCGCTGTTCTACCACAGCCATCACAAAAAAAATCTCAATCTTCCCTGAGCCAAGAGGAGGCAGACAATCTAGGGATTTGATAAAATAAGGCAAAAAGCAAATGTGTTCCAGACTAGCCAGGGCTACATAGACAGACCTTGCCTCAGAAAAGAAAACAAAAACAAAACAACAAAAAGCCCTGTCCCTGTCAACACTTGATATCTAACAAGACACCTAACAGTATGTCACTGAGATTTTAACTTTCAGCTGAACAGTTTTTCATGCTGTATCTGTCATTTGCCTATCATAAAAATGATGATTGTGTGAGCATTGTGCAATTATGCAGCATGATTATTTATGTCAGGGAACAACTTGCAGAATTTGGATCTCTTGTTCCATCATGTGGGTTCCAGGAGGAAACATAGGTCACCAGGCTTGCAAGGCAAGTTACCACCACCCGCTGCACAATCTTGACAGCTTCTATGCATCTTTTTAGATTAAGCATCTGCTTAAATGTTTACTTTTAAAATTGGGTTGAGGGGCTGGAAAGATGGCTCACTGGCTAAGAACATGGGCTGCTGTGCCAGAGGACCTGTGGTTCAGTTCCCAGCACCCACATGACAACTCACAACCATCTGTAACTCCAGTTCTAAAGGATCTGACAATCTTTTCTTTTTTTTTTTTTTTTTTTTTTGAGACAGGGTTTCTCTGTGTAACAGCCCTGACTGTCCTGGAACTTGCTTTGTAGACCAGGCTGGCCTCGAACTCACAAAGATTCACCTGCCTCTGCCTCCAGAGTGCTGGGATTAAAGGCGTGTGCCACCATTGCCCAGTGGGGGCAAAAAATTTTTTTTTCCAAGACAGGGTTTCTCTGGGGAATGATCTTAGCTGTCCTGGAACTCACTTTGTAGACCAAGTTGGCCTTGAACCCAGTAAAAATGTTTTTAACTTTATGACAAAGTTCAATTATTATTACTATTATTTATTTGGCAACACTCAGAATCAAATTATGTAAAGCACTGGGGAGGCAGAGGCAGGTGGGTCATTGAGTTCAAGGCGAGAGAGAGAGAGAGAGAGAGAGAGAGAGAGAGAATATAGCCATCTATAGCATTTCACAATAGCATCCAACTGTGATCCAAATACAGTTAACTCTACAAGGACCAAGTAGTCTGAGAGAGCGCCACCACTTCCTCAAAATGTTGGATGTCTTTATTCTATAGTGACCCAAAGTGATTTTGAGATTTCATCCATCTTTTTTTTTTTTTTTTTTTTTTTTTTTTGGTTTTTCGAGACAGGGTTTCCCTGGTTTTGGAGCCTGTCCTGGAACTAGCTCTTGTAGACCAGGCTGGTCTCGAACTCACAGAGATCCGCCTGCCTCTGCCTCCCGAGTGCTGGGATTAAAGGCGTGCGCCACCACCGCCCGGCCCATCTATCTTCAGAAGACTATTTAAAATGTCTTTATAGGGGTTGGAAAGATGGCTTAGTGGTTAAGAGCACTTGCTGCTCTTCTAGAGGACTCAAGTTCAATTCCCAGGACCCACATAAAAGCTCATGACTATCTACAACTCCAGTCCCAGGGGATCCAATACCCTCTCCTCTGCAGATACTGCACGCTCAAGGTGTTTAGACATTTACACAGGCAAGGAAAAAACTGTCTTTATAAGAACACAGAGAAGCAAGCCACATTATTTTATCTGCAGAAATAACCGCAAGACTTTGGAAAACAATGGTTACTTTCAGTAGAGAGCTGGCAGAAAGTGTTCTTTTTTTTTATCAACTTAATATTTTAGAAATTAAACATCAATTTAATGTAGTGTTTTATATTTTGCAGTACTGTTTCCCATGGGATGAAAAGTCACCAACTTGGTAAAGTGCTTCATTGGCAAATAGCTTTGGTAAGACCAAAACACCTACCAAAGGGGAAGGAAAGAGTCCCACCTCCCCAGACATCCGGTCGCCAGGTCAGGCTGCCTGATGGTGAGGAGGGAGGCACATCTATGTCCTCAGAACACTGCAGTGCTCTGCAGCCCTGAGCCTGCTGCTCATTCGCAACATGCTACTTCAGAGAGAAACATCGCATGTCCAGGACTTTGGCTAGGTATATATTTAAAGTCAGAGGGAGCAGAGACAGGTTTTGTCCTGGAAACTTTACTGCTTCTGAATTGGCGCATCACAGTACGGAACGTTTTCTGTTAGAAGATCTTTCCTGGGGACCAGCTCTACAAGGAACACAGAGAGACGAGTGGTTAAGATGATTACAACGGCAGTTACTATCTATCCTCAAAACAGACCTAAGTGCCCACACGCCCACTTCCCCCACAGTTCCAACTGTAAACTGTCTGATTTAGGAACCTTGAAAAGAACTCTTCTAGAGACATTTTATTTCAGTTGTCTGAGGTGAAATCTTTGACTCTAAATGAAGGCATTTAATAAGATCCTTATTCATGTTACATAAAAACATACAACCGAGTCCATCATTTTACTAAACATGACTAATTAAACAACGGAACAGAATTAAGCTAAAAATACATTCTTGACCATCTGTCGATTGCTTATTAAAAATGTCACCTAGGAATGGTTTTTGAGGGAGGGTCTCATATAGCTCAGGCTAGTCTTGAACTCCCACTGATCCTCCAGCCTCCACCTCCCAATGAAGAAATTAGGGGTTATCAGGCCTTGCTTGGCTACTTAGAAATTTTTATAGAAAGCAAGATAGCACTCTCATAATTTAGACAGTCCTCATCTACAGAACAGTGGTTCCCCTCCCCTTTCATAATTTCCCCTCTCTTTTCCTCCGTTCCTTTTTGTTTTGGTGCTGGGAACCAAACCCAGGCCCTCATGCATTGCTAAACTTGTATCCTACCACTGAGCTACATCCTGATCCTCAGCAATGGCTCCAGACAGGTCGCTTAGGGAACTTACTAGGCAGGAGCCAAGGATGCTAACTGCAATGCGAGAGGCAGTCTGGTGCCAGGAGGAACTGTCATTACAGAATGACCTCTGTGAACTGGAGGCCAGCCTGGTTTACAGGCAAAATCCAGGACAGCCAGAGCTACAGAATAAGAGATCCTGTCTCCAAAAAAAAAGAAAAAAGAAAAAAAAAGGTTGTTTTTTTTTTTTTTTTACTTCAAAGTGGTTCATAACCTATTGAAAAAGATAGTCACATAATAACGTAAGGCTTCACAAATGTCTTTTATAGCGAAAATGCAAGAATTCAAGACTATTACATTGAAGAATAAATTACTAAACCCATCAACACTACTTTATATTATGTTCAGCTTTGAATAAGCAGAAATCTACCAGTGGTTTAGTAAGATTCAGTTTTCTTCCACTATGAACACAGCAGGCCTGAGCTGGTGCAAGTCTTCGGTGCTGCTAAGAACCCAGGACTGCCTTCCCTCCCTGTCTGAACAGCAGTCTGCCTTCCCTCGCTACCACCACGTCTGCTCTGCAGGCAGGAAGAACAAAGGGCAGGAGGGGAACCCCACCCAGCCCATTCCTTTTCAACAAAACAATAGCTTCAGTGGAAACAACACTCAGTAGATAGAGGTGTATAAAAGATGCCAGACAGTCTGGGAAAGAACGCTACAGCCTTCCTCATGGCCCTTCTCTGGATGGGCAACAAGGACATATGCATTCACGGAACACTCCAGTTACAACCTGTCCCCAAAGACCCAGTGCTGGCCTGCTGTGCCCACTGGGTCCATCTGTGGCTCACATGGTAGACACTTACCCCACTTTAGTTGGAAATAAATGGAAATAAATGAAGGGATGAAAAATAAATTAAAAAAAAAAACACCATTTAAGGCCAGGCAGTGGTGGCACATGCCTTTAATCCCAGCACTCAGGAGGCACAGACAGGCAGATCTCCGTGAGTTCAAGGCCAGCCTGGTCTACAAGAGCTACAGGCTCCAAAGCTACAGAGAAACCCTGTCTTGAAAAACAAACAAACAGACAAAAACAAACAAACAAACAAAAAAAGAAAAATAAATACATGAGACTGGGAATCCATGGCAGTGCTCGGGCCACAGAAAATCTAAATCCTAGGGACAGGAAAAGGCAAACTTCTTAATTTGGTAACGAACTAATCCTCGGCCTGACAATCTGGCAGTACCAAATTCTATTTTCAAGAGACTCAAAGCCCTGCTCTGATGCACTCTACAACACAGATGCCAGATGTAGCCTCTGAGCCACTTCCTGTCTTGGGGAGATGGAGATCTTGGGGAAGATAGCCTCTCTTGGGAGCTTCAAAAGCTTTCACAGTCCACTTCCTGTTAATATGAGTTCAGGAGAGCAGGAATGGCTTTCAGAGCTGAAGTAAACTCCACAAGCCTGGGTTTCTTAGCAATACAATCCACACTCAAAAACTATAAACTTCAAGTCTGTTTCCAATTGTTTCCACAAACAAGAAGCCACAGGCAAGTTATCTTACCCAACTTTAAGCAATAAAGACAGTCATTCTTCTTTGGTAATCTGCCACACTCACTAGCCTTAAAGTGAGCACTTCTTATAGAAAGAAAAAGCAACAAAACGAGCTCCCATGAATAAGGAGGAAAGAGGCCTGGGAGCAAACCCAGGTTACATTTTAGAAGCCTCTTTACATCTGTCTTACATGGGACAGTGGGACCAGTGACCTTGCAGCTCCTCAAGGCTCTCTTCAGAATACAGGCTTAAACAAAGAACGCCCCTTAGCAAAGTGAGACTCATCCATCCCTGTTTGTGAATGAACCAACTTCATCTGCAAGTATTCTTTCTCAGCATCTTGCTGAAAGCAAAAGAAGCTACCCAGCATGTACTGACATTTGGGCTGCTTCTTTTATTGCTGTAGTCCAGATCTGTTTGTGCCCCATTAGTCACTGACCTTATGATTTACCACTGTAAAGGTCACCAGATCAGCCAGGCGGTAGTGGCACATGCCTTTAATCCCAGACAGAGGCAAACAGACCTCTGTGAGTTTGATGTCAACCTGGTCTACAGAGTGAGTTCACTAAAGAGACTGAGGTAGGAGGGTCACAGCGAGTTTGAGGCCAGCCTGGGCTACAGAGTGAGATCTTGTCTCCAAAAAAATTTTTTATTTTAAATTTAAATATATATATACACACACACACACACACACACAGATATGCATAATGGATAGCCTAGTTCACAATAGTGTGGCAGAAACATTTGGACACTAATGATGTATAGGATATTAAGATAGTTTAAAGTTATAAAAATGTTACTAAATATATCAGGCACATAAACAGCAATACGCTGAGATGGAAGCTTACTCTTTTTTTTTTCTTTTGAGACAGGGTTTCCCTGTGTACAGTCCTAGGTGTCCTGGAACTAGCTCTTGTAAACCAGGCATTCACCTGCCTCTGCCTCCCGAGTGCTGGGATTAAAAGCGTGTGCCACCACCGCCCAGCAGTCACTTTCTTTCTAAGAACCTATCCCTTCCGGTGTTTGGCCTTGGGGCTCCTCTGACGTACAGAAAGTGCTTTGGGGGAACACTAAACTATCAATCTTTTACAAAGAGTGCACAGTTTCGTAAGGACAAGAACCAGATTTGTCCTACCCATTGTTCCACAAAAATCCCAATGCCTATCACAATAAGGGCTGAGTCACATTAAATTGTCTTAGAAAAACAATCAGTGTTTGACAAATGTACAGGATCAAAGGGCAGAAGTTTAGGGCTGGGGAGATGAGTGAGTTGATAAAATGAGTTCTGTGCAAGCACCGGACCCGAGTTTGGATCCAGAGCACCCGTGCAGAAACACACACCCATGATCTCAGAGCTAGAGAGGTGGACACAGGAAGATCTCTGGGTATGATAAGTGAGCCAATGTAGCCAAAGCAGCGAGTTTTAGGTTCAGTGAGAGGCCTTGTCTTTAACAATTAGGTGAACAGCAATCCAGGACACCTGACACCAACTTCTGACCTCCATATACACATGTGCACACACACAAATGTGCACACACTGACACAGACACATACACAAAAAGGCAGAAATTAAAAAAAAAAAAAGACATCTGAGCTGGGCATAGTGGAACACACCTTTAATCCCAGCATGCAGGAGACAGAGGCAGGCAGATCTATATGAGTTCGAGGCCAGCCTGGTTTAAAAGAGTGAGGTCTAGGACAGACTCCAAAGCTACAGAGGAACCCTGTCTCAAAAGATCAAGATGGTCCATACTGAAGCCTCCTCTCACCCAGTGAGCTGAAAGACAGCCAACAGCTCACTTTCCGTGTGACGACACTTAGTGTTCATGTACTTTACCACCAAAGGGCCGTAGAGGCAACTGCTCCAACCAGGAAGTAGCTCAAACCCACACAAAGGAACTAACAAAGCAAACACTGAAACTCTCGAAGCATAAACTGGCCCACATCTCAGCATACTGACATGATAACGGAAGTGCCACTCAGGCCCTGGGACCCAGCACACAGACAGCAACATTGACCAAAATGAGAACAAAGACCTAATCCATCAAAGTCCATAGTTTTGGAACAGTCCCTAAATGACGTGTGTCAACCCAGGATGTGATTTTTGTGCTTAAAACCCCACCCTGGGAAAGGCTAGGGACTGCACTTGGGACCTGAACACCTAGTGTTATCACCAGCCAGCTAATAAAGACTTTTTATTGCCTTGACTCTGTGTCCGAGTGGTCTTCTCTGGTGGAAACCTCACTACAGCTCATCATCCAGTGACCCTCTGAATGAGCACATAACTCGGGAGTCGCAGCAGGCGTAGATGACACCATTATGGAGCTGAAAGACATCTCCCCTGCCAGAAAGCACTGGTTTGAAAAGTTCAGACCTCTGCAGCCTCCAAAATACATTCCTGTCTCCAAGCCTCCAGGCTGTGGTTAAAGGTTTATCACCATGGCTACGTGAAAGAAGCAAGAAGCGTCTGACTGTGATATCAACCTTCCATCTTCAACACTGGTGAGAGGTATGAAGAATCTCCAAAACTGGCTGCTACTGTTTCTACCTTGCCACAAAGCCAGAACTCCCATCATCTTATAAAGGCTCCTTTCTACAAAGTTGTTCAAGTTCTGACCACGAAGCTACAGCCATGAGGACAGCTCCGTTTATGAGTCTCTGGGATTGGATTTAGATACTGATCACAGCTGCTAAGTCATAGTGATGGCCCCTGACTAGGCCGGTGGGAAGAAGAATGCCCGTGAGATTTCACTTCAAGAGCCTGCTCCAAAACAAAGACACAATCTTGAATCTCATCTTAAACAATGAAGATGTGGTTAGGCATGCAGACATGCTAGAAGAAGTTGCCCTGGAAACTGACGGTTTTTCAGGAAGTGACCTAAAAAAAAAAAAAAAAGGAGAAAGAGAGAAAGAGAGCGAGAGAGAGAGAGAGAGAGAGATGCTAGGCCTAGCACCTTTAATCCCAACACTCAGGATACAGAGGTAGACAGATTCTTTGAATTCAAGGCCAGCCTAGTCTACAAAGCAAGTTCCAGAACAGCTAGGGCTACATAGAGAAACCTCCTCATCCCAAAAATAAATAAATAAAAACAAAATAACCAAAAAAAGGAACGTGGGCTGCTGCCCTCGTGTGTGTGTGTGTGTGTGTGTGTGTGTGTGGCGGGGAGAGGAAATATACTAATTCTATACCAGGAGAAATTCAAGAATAGCCTGTGCAACAGTAGTCCCGCACCCAGTAACTGCAAAGGTGAAGGAGTCAGAACGTTTTAACTCGTGTTTGTTCAGAGTAAGAGTAAAGATCCTTTATATGGTTCTGTGACCTAATTTGCTGTGGAAGCTTATCTGTGAGAGGACCACGTGCTCTTAAAACACGCAAAGCCAGCAGGGTGGTGGTGGCGCACGCCTTTAATCCCAGCACTCGGGAGGCAGAGGCAGGTGGGATCTCTGTGAGTTCCAGCCTGGTATACAAGAGCTAGTTCCAGGACAGGCACCAAAGCTACACAGAAACCCTGTCTTGAAAAAAATAAGAGGGGCTGGAGAGATGGCTCAGTGGTTAAGAGCACTGCCTGCTCTTCCAAAGGTCCTGAGTTCAATTCCCGGCAACCACATGGTGGCTCACAACCATCTGTAATGAGGTCTGGTGCCCTCTTCTGGCCTGCAGACATACACACAGACAGAATATTGTATACATAATAAATAAATAAATAAATAAATAAATATTTAAAAAAAAAAAAGAAAAAATAAGAAACAAAACAAAAAAAACCAAAAAAACACAAAGCCATTCTATGTCAGCCTGGTCTACAGAGAGTTCCAGAATAGCCAGGGCTACAAAAACAACAAACAAACAAAAAACAAAAGCAAAGTCAGCTTTAATAGATAACCAAAAACTACTATAGTGGTTTGAAAGAAAATGGCCCCCAAAGGGAGTGGCACTATTAGGAAGTGTGGCTTTATTGGGGTAGATGTGCCCCTGTTGTGTGTCACTGTGGAGGTGGGCTCTGAAGTCTCATATATACTCAAGCTTCACTCGGTGTAATACTTAGACCACTTCCGATTGCTTGCTTCTCCAGCACCATGTCTGCCTGCATGCTGCCATGTCCCACAGCAATAATGGACTAAACCTCTGAACTGTAAGCAAGTCACCCCAATTAAATGTTTTTTCATTTATAAGAGTTGCCATGATCAACTGGGCAGTGGCGCACACCTTTCATCCCGGCACTCCAGGTGGATCTCTGTGAGCTCGAGGCCAGACTGGTCTACACAGCAAATTTCTCCATAGCCACTGAGAAACCCTGTCTCAAAATAAAATAAAATAAAAAATAATAAAATAAAATGACTTGCTTGGTCATGGTATCTCTTCACAGCAATAGAAACCCTAACTAAGACACTACTCTTCGAACAAAGCACTGGAGAATCCCTCCATGACCTTGTTTGATACAAAATCTTCTTCAACAGGATCCAGAATCTAAAAATATCTACCATAAAGTGTTGCAGAATACTTGTTTAATTTTGTAAAGATGTATTGCATTTGTTAATGTTGTGGAATATTTGTTTAACTATGTCAAGATATGTTGCTGTTTTAGCTTGCCTGCCTAAGGCACCTGATTGGTCTAATAAAAAGCTGAGTGGTCAATAGCAAGGGAGGAGGTATAGGTAGAATTTCCAGGCAGGGAAAGTAAATAGGAGGAGGAATTTAGGCTCGCGGAAAAAAGAAAAGGAGACAACAGGGAGACATCAGCGGTCAGACAGACAGACAGACACAGAAGAAGCAGGAAAGTAGGTCATACAGAATGAAAGAAAGATAAAAAGTCCAAGTCAAAAAGGTAAAAAGTCATGCAGATGAATAGAAACAGGTTAAATTAAGTTAAAAGAGCTAGTGGGCAAGCCTAAGCTAAGGTTGAGCATTCATAATTAATAATAAGTCTCCATGCCTTTATTTGGGAGCTGGTTGGCAGCCCCCAAAAATTCCAAATACAAAAAGGAAAATGGATCAGCTAGACTATATTAAATAGGAAACTCCTCAAAGGGAAAGACCACAAGTAGAAGATTCTTAGAATAGAAATATCCAATAAAAGATTTATATTTAGAACATATAAGAATTCCTTCAAGTCAAGAAAAAAGGCAAACAATCCTGTAGGAAAGTGAGCACTTTGTAAAGAGAATACTCAGATCTCTGCTAACCCACTGAAAGGCGTTCATACTTCCTTAGTTAGCAGACACATACAAACTAACGGGCCTGTAAGATAGCTCAGTGGGTAAAAGTGCCTGTCATCAAGCCTGGCACCCCACACTCAATGCCTCGAACCCACTTGATGAGAGCTAGCTTCTGACTTCCACTAGTCATATATGTGTGTGCATTTGAGTGTGCAAGCACGCACACACACACACACACACACACACACACACAAATGTTAAAAACATTAACAATGGGCTAGAAAGTTGGCTCAGCGGTTAAGAGCATTGCCTGCTCTTCCAAAGGTCCTGAGTTCAATTCCCAGCAACCACATGGTGGCTCACAACCATCTGTAATGAGGTCTGATGCCCTCTTCTGGCCTGCAGGCATACACACAGACAGAATATTATATACATAGTAAATAAAAAAATTATAAAAAAAAGGGCCTGGCATATATTTCCATTTCCTATAATCCCAATTCTTCTAAACTAAAATAACTAATTATAGAATAAAAGGCAAAAAAATAGACAGTCTAGCCGGGCGATGGTGGCGCACGCCTTTAATCCCAGCACTTGGGAGGCAGAGGTAGGCGGATCTCTGTGAGTTCGAGACCAGCCTGGTCTACAGAGCTAGTTCCAGGACAGGCTCCAAAGCCACAGAGAAACCCTGTCTCGAAAAACCAAAAAAAAAAAAGAATAGACAGTCTAAGTCGATAATAAATGATGCCAGAAAAAAAATAATAAATATGGTTACATAAAAATGGTTGTAGCCGGTATAGGTGCACCCCTTTAATCTCAGCACTCAGGAGGCAGAAGCAGGCAGATCTCCGTGAGTTCAAGGCGAGCCTGGTCTACATAATGAGTTCTAGGATAGCCAAGGCTACATAGTGAGACCCTGTTTCAAAAAAACAAGAACAATAAATAAAATAAAACAAAACAAAAAAAAACAACACAAAAAGGATGTGAATAAAACTACAGTTTTGCAATATATCCAGGAATTAGATCTGGTGGAGGGGCTCTAGAGAGATGGCTCAGCAGTTTAGAGCACAGCTGCTCTTGTAGAAGACCTGGTTTCAGTTCTCATCAGTCATCTGATGACTAACAACCATTTATAATTTAACTCCAGGGACTCCAACATCCTCTTGTGACTTCCACTGATATCAGGCAAACATGGGTGCACATATATCCATGCAAGCAAAACATGCACACACATAAAGTGAAATAAAAGAATCTACAAACAAGCCGGGCGGTGGTGGCGCACGCCTTTAATCCCAGCACTCGGGAGGCAGAGACAGGCGGATCTCTGTGAGTTCGAGACCAGCCTGGTCTACAAGAGCTAGTTCCAGGACAGGCTCCAAAACCACAGAAAAACCCTGTCTCGAAAAACCAAAAAAAAAAAAAAAAAAAAGAATCTACAAACAAACTTGAAAGTAAAAAGAAAAAAGGGGGAGGGGAGATGGCAGATGGCTCAGCCGAGGACTTGAGTTCATTTCCGGTGTTGGTGTTAGAGAGTAATGTCAGCCTGGTGGCTGTGATCACGCCTGTAATCCCAGGGGAAGCCAGCCTAATTTACACAGCAAGTTCAAGACAGCCAGGGCTACAGAGTGAAACCCTGTCTCAGAGTAAGAAAAAACAGAACAATAATAATAAACAAAATAAAGACAAACAAAGGAGCAGTAACGTTATTATTTTGAAACATCAGTCAGCAATCATATACCTCCAACCCACTTTACTTACTCAGGGTGTTGTGGTCAGTGTGAATACCTTGAATAACAGATGTTCTGAGTAATAGTTCAACATCGGAACCCACTTTCAACATCTGTTAAGAAAATCAGACAGAGTCACCCCTGAGTGCTTCGTAGGGCTGCACTGGTTTTGAAGACAACGGTTTTACAGGTCACTTTCTGATAATGTGGCTTCTAGCTTTGTGCAACTGCATCAGGTAGTATAGGAAGCGCAAACATTTCAGATGCCCTTCATTTTTATCTATCTAGCCCAAATTTTGTTCAAATAGACTTAGAACTTTGTTATAATTTGCATTTTAAAATGTGTTGGAGACTGGGCATCGCAGAGCACGCCTTTGATCCTAGCACTTAGGAGGCAGAGGTCAGCCTGGTCTACATAGTGAGCTCTAGGACAGCAGAACTACATAGTGAGACCCCCGTCTCAAAATAAAAATAAAACAAATGAAAAAGCAATTTTTTCTAATTTGTTGTTCACTTGTACAAATATTATTATTAGAGATATTCTCTTATTTGTATTTTCTCTTTTACCAATCAATTCTCTGGGCCATAAGAATCCCCACAATTTTCTTTTCTCAGTATGTAGCCCAGGCTGGCATTGGATTTGTGATTCTTCTGCTTCGGCCTCTAGAGTACTACAAAGACAGGCAAACCCCACCACGCCCAGCTCCACTCTGCACTGCTTCCCGACCTAAAATTCTCTGTGAAGTGCTGCATCATGAGACCGCTATAGCGGCTTCTGCCATGGCTCAGCTGCCCTGGCCTTGACCAGAGCTGCTTCTGCGTTCTCTTCCCAGGGACCTTGTTATCTTTGGGGGTAGAAGACAAGCCAGAGAGGAGCCACAGCAAACAAGTGCAGGCGTCTGCGGCTGTGAGGGCTCTCACTACCAGGGATGGCTTTCCTTTACATGACCCTCCACTCCCGCCTCCTCTCTTTACTAAGGACATTCACACCAGCTCTGTTAACAACTGAAACCTGTTACTGCACCTCTTCTATTTTCTCCGGAGAGGCCTCACTTTTATGTTTTTTGAATTCTTCATTTATCTTTACTCTGGCCGCTAGAGAGAGAGAGAAATACATGTAACTTAATACCCATGATTCTTACATGTTATTCAGCATAACTCATTATGAATTTCTACTTCTCATATAAAGCAAAGCATGAGCAATGTGTTCCATGCCAAGCATGATATCACAACACCATGAGAGCAGCACTTAAGATGATGAGGCAGGGGCTGGAGAGATGGCTCAGAGGTTAAGAGCATTGCCTGCTCTTCCAAAGGTCCTGAGTTCAATTCCCAGCAACCACATGGTGGCTCACAACCATCTGTAATGGGGTCTGGTGCCCTCTTCTGGCCTGCAGGCATACACACAGACAGAATATTGTATACATAATAAATAAATAAATAAATATTAAAAAAAAGATGATGAGGCAGGAGAATTTTAAGTTTGAGGCCACCTTGGGCTATAGATGGTAAGGCTTTTTTCTTCTTCCTTCTGCCTTTTTTTCTTTTTCATTTTTTCTTTTTCTTTCCTTTTTTTTTTTTTTTTGACATAGCTCTGGCCATCCTGGAACTCATTATATAGACCAGGCTGGCCTGGAACTCAGAGATTCTCCAGACTTTAAGGCCACCAAGCCTGGCTTCTTTTCAACTTTGTGTACCTTCAGAACTACTAGATTCTAAGAAGTCTGAACCCAAGTATGTCTTTTGTGTAAATCTAAACATTTGTTTTGTTTTGAGCAAGGGTCTCATTGTAAAGCCGAGGCTGTTTTGAACATGTGAGCCCTCTTCCTCAGCCTCCAGAGTGCTAGAGTTACATGCGTGTGCTACCACTCCCAACTAAAATGCTTTATGAAGACGGGAAGAACCAGTGCAAACTGTATATACCCGCACACACAGATGCATCAGTATGGAAGATCTGATCCCGAGACCTTGGCTAAAGAAAAAGTGAATGATGAAAGCAGAGTTGCCAGGTGTGGTAGGTAGGTGTGGTGACGCATGCCTTTAACTAAATACGGAGTGGGGGTAGGGGGCGGGGGGGGGGCAAAGGCAGGAGGTGCTCTGTGAGTCTGAGGTCAGCACAGTCGACATGGCAAGTTCTAGGATGGGTAAGACTATAAAGTGGCCTGTGTGTCTCAAACAACCAAAAAAAACAACAACAACAACAAAACAACCTTTTAGGCTCACACATACCACCTACATTGCAGCAACTTAATTATATGAAGTCCTTAGTAAATATTCAACAAATGTTGGCTAAAACAATAATATAACCCATGCTGACAGAAAAATAGCCATGGAGTCTCCTTTGGTGCTGATCTTCCTCAGGGTTAAGAGTCTGGTCCTATCCTAGCTGTGTGGTAGTGGCACAGACCTTTAATCCCAGCATTCAGAAGGCACAGGCAGAGGCAGGTGGGTCTCTGAGTTTGAGGCCAGCCTGGTCTACAGAGCAGCCAGCTAAAGAATGGGTGTGCACCAGGGGTGGTGGCACACACCTCAGGCAGGAGGACCAGGAGCTCAAGGTCACCCTCTACAAGAGAACCTTCAAAGCCAGCCTGGGATATCTAAGATTCCCAGCTCACGGTGGCACCCTAGCTCAATGATGGAGTAATTTGCTTCACATGGGTGAGGCTCTAAGTTCAATTCCTAGCAATGCAAAACAAGACAAATAACAAAAGCATGGATTTGCTCTAAAGGAGTGAAAAATATATTTACCTTCTAATGCTCTCTTATCATTTTTAAAAACTTGTTGTCTGGTCCTGTGTAGTGTTCTAAAGAGCTGTAAAACCTATTAAGAAAAAGAAGAATTCAGGGCCGAGGAGATGGCTCAGGGGATAAAGCACACGCTCCGCAGTTCTGAGTTGTGAGTTCAAATTCCTGGAATCCACAAAAAACCAGATATGAGCCGGGCGATGGTGGCGCACGCCTTTAATCCCAGCACTCAGGAGGCAGAGGCAGGCGGATCTCTGTGAGTTCGAGACCAGCCTGGTCTACGGAGCTAGTTCCAGGACAGGCTCCAAAGCCACAGAGAAACCCTGTCTCGAAAAACCAAAACCAAAAAAAAAAAAAAAAAAAAAAAAAAAAACCAGATATGAGAGTGCACATCTGTAACCCCTGTATGCCTGCAGCAAGATGACAGCAGAGAGACAGGATAATTCCAGGCGCTCAAGGGATTCTGGAGCTAGCCTGTCATATGCAGAATTCCTGCCTCAAACAAGGTGGAAGCAAGGACCAACACCTGAGGTTTCCTCCGACTACACACATACACAGAGAGAGTTATACACACACATACACACACACACACAAATAAATAAATAAATAATATTTTATGGTTAAGAAAAAAAATCAAGCCGGGCGGTGGTGGTGCACGCCTTTAATCCCGGCACTCGGGAGGCAGAGGCAGGCAGATCTCTGTGAGTTCGTGACCAGCCTGGTCTACAGAGCTAGTTCCAGGACAGGCTCCAAAGCCACAGAGAAACCCTGTCTCGAAAAACCAAAAAAAAAAAAAAAAGAAAAAGAAAAAAAATCAAATTCAAAGCCAGGTGGCAGTGGTGCATGCCTTTAATCCCAACACTCTGAGTTGGAGGCCAGCCTGGCCTACAGAGTGAGTTCCTGGACAGCCAGGACTACTCAGAGAAACCCTGTATCAGGAAAAAAAAATCACATTTTACATAACATTTAAAATTGCTGTATTAGAAGGATTAAGTAGGATTTATTTCCTATTTGTTTTCAGCATAGCTGGTAAAGCAAGAACTTGCAAAATATCTTCTGAGTTGCTATGTCTCTTTCAGTTCAAGAACAAAACAAGGTGGGGCTGTGAACAGAGAAACTCAGCTCAAAAATCCACACCCATCCACTCCCCACCTCCCCCCACAAAAAGCCAAAAACAAAGAACAAAAACAATGGGGAACTGGGGAGATGGTGCAGTGGTCAGGAGGATGTACTGTATGCAAACTGTTCTTCAGAGGACCTCAGTTTGGTTCCCAGCACCCACATCAAGTGGCTCACAACCACCTGTAACTCCTCTGGCCTCTGCAGGCATCTGCACTTGTGCATACATACCCACACACATGCACACAGACACATAATTAGGAAAAAAAAGTAGCAGTTGGGGTTACAACTCAGTGGTACAGTGTGCAATTTAGCAAAGGTAAGGCCCTGGGCTCCCAGGCTCCATCTAGCACAAAAACATTAAAGAAAAAACTGTTATTTACAAAATTGTTAAGGTCTGTGAAACAAACAATCGTCAATGAAAGAAAGAAAGGAGGAAGGGAGGGAGGAAGAGAGAAAGAGAGAGGGAGAGGGGGGAAAGAAAGAAGGAAGGAAAGAAAGAAATAAGGAAAAAAAGAACACAAAACACTAATCTAAGCCAAGTACGGTGGCTCATTATCTGTAAATCCAGCACTCAGGAGGGGGAGGCAGGAGAATTAACTCTTCCAAAAGACCTGGGTTCAATCCCCAGCACCCACATGACATCATACAATTCCAGGTGATCTGACACCCTCACACAGACATACATGCAGGCAAAACATCAATGCACATTAAGATAAAAAACATTAAAAACAAAATAAAATAGAAAATCTGCCTTAGATATAGGGCTGGGGAGATGGCTCAGGGATTAAAATCGTGGTTCAGCAAGGGTCAGGACCTGAATTTGGATCCCCAGAACCCCCCAAAATACAGGGTAGATGCACACTTCCAGCCTCGAAAGGCAGAGACAGAGGATACCCAAAGCAACTGGCTCTCAAGGCTACATACTCATACTGGAGAACTCTGGGGTCTGTTGAGAGACCCTGCCTCAATAAAGAAGGTAGAAGGGCAATAGAAGTATCCATACATGCACGCATGCACTCACAAGTACACACATGAAATGGAAAAAATATTTAAGATTTACTTATGAGCATTTTAGATTTAGGATTTTTATTTTTTTATGCTTCGTCTGTACTTTAAGACAATCACAGGAAAGGAACAGACTTGCTATAGGAGAACAGGGACGAAACAACATTGTGGGGATGGCTTTGAAATTGAGAAATGTGCACAGAAAGGATTTTTCTTTCCTTTTTTCTTTCTTTCTCCCTTTTTGTGTGTTTTTTTCTAGTCAGGGCTTTTCTGTGTAACAGTCTTGGCTGTCCTGGAACTCACTCTGTAGACCAGGCTGGGTCTTGAACTCACAGAGATCCATCTGTCTCTGCCTCCTGAGTGCTGGGATTAAAGGTGTGCACCACCACCTAGCCAGAAAGAATTTTTCTAAAGTGCTTGACAGTAAGAGCTGATTGCCTTGCAGAGACTGTTGAAAGGAATATGTTGTTTGTTTTTTTGATTTTTTTCAAGACAGGGTTTCTCTGTAGCTTTGGAGCTTGTCCTGGAACTAGCTATTGTAGACCAGGCTGGCCTCAAACTCACAGAGATCCGCCTGCCTCTGCCTCCCCAGTGCTGGGATTAAATGCGCCACCCACCACCTGGCCAGGAATATGGCTCTTAAAGGTACCACAGTAGACTGTGTTTAGCACATAGTGGGTCCTGGGCTCATTTCTCAGCACTACAAAATAAAAAAATAAATTAAGTGAAAAGAGACAGACAGGCAGGCAGACAGGCGCACACACACACACACACACACACACACACACACACGACTAGGTGTCTAGGTACACACCTGTAGTCCCAGCATCTTAGGAAGTAGAGCAAGGAAATCACTTGATCCCAAAGATCATATTAAGACCACAGTCTCAAACCAAACAGTAATCTCAGTAATTATATGTCGTCCCTAAGGGACTGGGGGTATCCATTAACACAAAAACAACACCACTAGTTTAAGACCATTATCCTCATAAAAAGAAAATGGGAGCTGGAGAGATGGCTCTGAGGTTAAAATCATAGGCTGCTCTTTCAGAGGACCCAGGTTCTTCCCATCACCCACATGGCAGCTGACAACCACCTTTAGCTTCAGTTCCAGGGACTCTAACGCCCTCTTCTGGCCTCTGTGGGTACCAGGTATGCACATGATACACGGACATTCAGAAACACCACCCATTCAAAGAAAATACTTTTAAAAAGAAAATGCTATCTTTATTATTACAAAGCTATTGAGACCAATATTACATTGGAGCTAATAAAATAATTACATTTTTATTTATTATTTATGCAGTATTGGGCATGGAACCCAGGACCTTGACCATGCTAAGGGTTCTACTACTGAATACAGCCACATCCCTACTAAAAAACTTTTCAGATGAAAAAGTAGCTGAGTGTAGTGGCTCACACCTGTAATCCCAGCACTTGGCAAGCAGACTGCTGAGTTGGAAGCCAGCTGGGGGCTACACAGAAAGTCTGAGGCCAGACCCTCCTAATTCCCAATTAAACTTCAGGTCTCTGCCTATGGTTTCTTGTGATTTCATTTCTTTCCTTTTTAAATTTTGAGACAAGACATACATTGTCTGGGATAGCCATGAACAAGAGGTTCAGCAATGCAGCCACTCCCTCTCTAGAGATTTCTGAATTCCTCTAGGTAAGTTAAATCCTAGTTTCAGCCTCACAAAACAAGCTGTGTTTTTAGTCTGAAGAACTTCCTTCGATTTTATTGTGTATAATTTTCTTACTACTGGTTTCTTTATGAAGGCAAGGGCGGTCAGTTTACGATCATCACCCTCCTCCACTCACCATCTCTCACCCCCCTCACTCACTGTCCCTCCTGGCTGTCACTCTCCACTCAGCGCCCCTCGGGGTCCCCCTCCTCCGCTCAGAGCCGATCGGGGTGGTCACCCTCCTCACTCACTCTCCCTCGGGGCCGTCTCCCTTCCCTCCCACTGCTCTCATGGTCGTCACCCTCTTCCACTGACTCCTCCACTCTGCGTCCCTTCGGGTCGCCTCCCTCCCCTGCCGAGGGTCCTGATCTTCAGCCTCCCTGTCCCTCCTCCCCAGCCCTGTCACCTTGGCGGGCTGACCCATGGCTCCCCACGCCGCTGCCACCGCCTCTCAAGCCGCCCCCTCTCGGTAGCCAATCAGGGCTGGGGCGTGGCCAGAAACGCTCCGACATAGCAACCAATCAGAGCGTAGCTCCTCCTCCCTAGCCCGCCTTCTCCACAGGAAGAAGGTCAGGCGCTTGCTAAATAGATCCAATTATAAAATCGCGAGAAGTCGCAGAGCCAAATTACGAAAAGGAGAACGGAAGTAACCGGAAGCCATGTTTGTTAGAGTCAGAGTTCCTTCCACTTTGCTGCACGCTTGGTTATTAGTTAATGGGTGATCTTGGCACCTGCTCGTTTTTACCTTCCGTTTTAGGGCGTGGATCGTTTCTTAAAGTTCCTATAGTTTAACGTTTCCCAGCTGTGACTGTCTCCTTGGAAACGTGTGCAAACAAAAGCCAAGCCCTCACAAACACAGCCGCTACAAATCAGAACGCTGCCTCCTGAAAGTCCTGTTTATTTATACATTTGCTTAATTCCTCCCCCAGAAGGTGCCGCTGAGTTGCCTGCTCAAGTTCACACGCTTGATCCCAGAGACTTCTCGCCCTCTGCATTACCATTAGCCTCCTTATCTTACCCTGCTCTTTGGTTTTGCTGAGGTAGAAAATCATCTATTAAAAGCTTCACAGTCGTAACCATAAAACATTTATATACATTTTAACTTAGAATTTACAGGCATGCTTCCTTGTTTCTATTTCACAATCGTTTGCCTTCAACACTCCTGTAGCATTTGAGGTTACTTTTAGGTAAAATTGACAGGTGATTAAAAGATTTGGAAGCTGGGTGTGGTGGTACATCTTGTAAGCCCAGCGTTTGGGAGATAAAGTCAGGAGTATCAGCCTAGACTATAAGAAACTCTGTCTCAATCAAAAAGCTAAAGAGGGCCAGGCGGTGGTGGTGCATGTCTTTAATCCCAGCACTTGGGAGGCCAGCCTGATCTACAGATTGAGTTCCAGGACCGCCAGGACTAAACAGAGAAAAATCTGTCTTGAAAAACAAAACAAAATAAGAAAGTGTGGGTGAGTTTGGTTTGGCTTTGACACAGGGTCTCACTATAGAGCCCTGCCCTGTTTGAAGCTTGCTCTATAAATCAGGCTGGTCTCGAACTCACAGAGATCTGCCTGCCTCTGTCTCGGAGTTCTGGGATTAAAGCCATACACCATCACATTTGTAATTTTCCTCAGAAATGCCTTCTACTTTGTTTGAGACCTAGAAGCCACCAGTTAAGCTAGACTGATTGGCCTAGCCTTAAGGATCTTCTGTCTGTCAAGTTGGGAGCGTAGGCCCCAGCCCCTTACATCTATCCCAGCCCCCAGGCCTGGTCTGGACTCCAAATCCCAGCAGGCCCACTGGTCAGGACCACTCCCCAGGGTACTTAAGTGATCTCTCGAAAGAGGAACATGTGGTCTCCCTTTCTTCCTGTTTCCTGGTTCCCCCCTCTGGGCTACCAGAGAGCAAGAGCGCAGATCTCCTGTTAAACCTGGATATTTTTTAATTTGGCTTGTTTTGATTTGGCTTGATTGGGAATTTTGTGTTGACAGGGAGCTCACATTAATATTCCTAACACTGTCTCTGCCTGCCTGGTGCTAGGATCACAAATGTGTAACAGCTTGCCTAGCAAGTCATAATGAGAACAGCAAGATCATTGTCAACTTTTAAAAACTGTTATTGATGGCTAGAGAGCTGGCATAGAAGTTAAGAATGCAGGCTGCAAGGGCCTGAGAGATGGCTAAGCAGTTAAGAGTACTTAGTTCTCTTCCAGAGGACCCAGGGTTCAATTTCCAGTACCTGCAATGGCAGCTCACAACTGTTCCAGAGGATCTAACATGACACCCTTGCACAGACATATATGCAGGTCAGGCACCAATGTACATAATATAAGTTAAATTAAAAAAAAAAGTGTTGGCTGCTCTTCCAAAGAACCTGAGATCAATTCCCAACATCCATATGGCAGCTAACAATGATCTGTAACTCCAGTCCCAGGGGATCCAACACCCTCTTCTGGCCTCCAAGGACACCACATGCAAATAATGTAGATATATACATTCAGGCAAACACTTATACACATAAAAATAAATAAAAATCTCAAAAAACTGTTATGGAGGTACTAAAATTGCAGAAGAACATTTAATATAACCAATTATTAAATCAAGTGTAGTGGCTATTGACTTTTATTCAAGAAATAGTAAATTAGGTCATCTGTGACATTCAATTGTAGTGCCTTCTGGAGTAATCTTTTTTTTTTTTTTAATTACACTTCAGTACTGTCTTTGTTAGGATTTCTATTGCTGAGATGAAACACCATGACCAAAAAGTAAGTTGGGGAGGAAAGGGTGTATTTGGTTTACACTTCCTCATCACTGTTCATCACTGAGGGAAGTCAGGACAGGAACTCTTAACAGGGCAGGATCCTGGAGGCGGGAGCTGATGCAGATACAATGGAGGGGTGCTGCTTACTGGCTTGCTTCCCATGGCTTGTTCAGCCCACCTTCTTATAGAACCCAGGCCCAGCCCAGCAGCCCAGGGATGGCACCACCCACCATAGGCTGAAGCCTCCCCCCTGATCATGAGAAAATGCCTGCACTGGATCTCAAGGAGGCATCTACCTCCTCAGCTGAGGCTCCTTCCTCTAGCTTGTGTCAAGTTGACACACAAAACCACCCAGTACAAGTACTGTAGCACAGTTTCCTTTAAAAATATAGTTTTTGTAATAATTATTTCTGGCTAGAAAGTTAACCAAAAGCCCTCCTATGTTATTTGAAATAGCATGGTTCCTGTGGCTGGAGAGAAGGCTCAGTGCTTAATGGCACTTACTGATCATGCAGAGGACTGGGGCTGAGTGCCCAACATCTACACAGTGGCTCACAACCATCTGTAACTTCAGTTCTGGGAGATCCAGTGCCCTCTTGTGGTCTCCTACATACATGTGGTGCCCATAAAGTCATGTAAGCATACACACATAAATATAAATGGATAAAATTTTAAAAGAAAATATAGTTCTACAGTGCCCAACCAGACTGAGCTTTCTCCTGAACAAACATATTACAGTTCCTTCAGCTATTCCACAGAAGTGAAACGAGATGGCTCAGCACTCTTTACTGCTCTGGTTAACTGAACTGAAGAAACACCAGAATGTGAGTTCACGGAACCCTATGGCTGGCAGGATAATGTCACCCCCCACCCCCACGCTCCCCCCAAAAGGATGTGTGCACTCAGATGCCCAAAATTTCACATTGTCTTTGTTATGCCCAAATCCACAAAGTCCCCCAAAAGCCAACAAGGAGATCGAGTCCCATATGTAAAAGCAAAGAGCCTTTATTTTATGCAAGTTTGCAAACTCAGTCTCTCTGCATGTCCAACTTATTGGAATAAAAGAACCCCAAGCTCAGTTAGAGTTGGGTTTTTATAGTAGGAAAGGTGAAGGTGAGGGGTTTCTGAGGTTCAGGACCCTTGATTGGCTGACATTTGTCTAAGGGTGTCCTGGTGAGTGTGCTGGCAGGTGATCCTATCTACAGCGGTTGGAATGCTAGGCATTTCCTTTGGATGGTCTGTTCTTGGGTAGTGGTCGGGTAATCTCAGTTTGTGATTCTTCCTGCAACCAGGTATTGCTTCAGGGTAAACTACTAAGACTCTGGCCTCCATTATGGCTGAGTCCTACTCTGGCAGGTGATAATGGTTGAAAGTAAGAACTTCCTTTGGGTGGATCTGTTCATATTTAGCTTATTATGGCTGGCTCCTACAGTCTTACCTTGGAGAAATAAGGGTTTTTGGTAGAAGAACTAAATTAATATTCTGAGATGGGGATCTTTTGGATATGTGTGGTGTGTCTAATGGGTCATATTAAAAGTGGAAGAAGGAAACAGGGAGAGTTTGAAGATCCTCATCTGCTGTTTTGGAGAGGAATAAAGAGGCCACAAACGAAGGGAAGCGCATGGTCTCTGGAAGCTGGAAAAGACAAGGGAGTGGACTGCCCTCTAGAGCCTCCAGGAAGAATGCAGCCCAGCTGACTGGGACTTCTGCTCAGTGGAAACCAATTTGACTTAGGACACCCAGAGCGCTCCCATTCACCATCTAAGCCAGTATCTCTTACCTTGGCTTAGCCACCACATCTCCTCTCTCCTCACTTTCAAGGCCCTGTGCTTACACTGGGTTCACCCAGCTAAATCCAAGAGCCTACCCATTTCCGGGTCCTTAATTTATTTATTTATTTTGCTTTTCGAGACAGGGTTTCTCTGTAGCTTTGGAGCCTGTCCCGGCACTAACTCTTGTAGACCAGGCTGGCCTCGAACTCACAGAGATCCGCCTGCCTCTGCCTCCCGAGTGCTGGGATTAAAGGCGTGCGCCACCACCGCCCGGCCCGGGTCCTTAATTTAATCGCAGCTGCAAAATACCCTTTACCTATTGCCATAACACATTCATGGGATCCCTCTGGATCCCTGCTGGGACGTGGGCATATTCTGCTTACGTCATCCAGTTTGTGTGAAGTCAGTCAATAAGTTCAAAATGGAAGTAAACGGAGGAGGAGAAAGAGCCAGGACGTGCTCACACCGGTTCCTATTAGTCAAGATAAATAATTTGGATTGCATTCTTGGATAGAATGTTCTGGAATAACATCAGTAAGAGAGCGACATCACTGTTTACATTTTACAAACATCAGTGTGGTTGGGTGTGGAGGCAGGAAGGTCAAGAGTTCAAGGTCTTCCTCAGTTAAATGGCAACTTCAAGTTCCCCCTGGGTTACGTGAGACCCTGTCTCAACAAAACTACAACATAACTCAGCAGATGGCTCGGCTGGTAAAGTGCCTGCTACATAACATGAGGATTGAGTTCCAGGGCCCCAGAAGCAAACCCATTTACCTACACACTGGTCTTTCCTGGCTCTAACTGTCCATCTCTGTCAGTGACGGTTGGTGGCAGGTCGTCTTGCACTCATCCAGGCTCTGCAGCTGGCAGCTGTGAGTGTAAATTAAGTTGTGGTTACTTTATTTGCAAAGGGCTGGTTAGATATTTTCAGCTGTGAATCCTGTGG